TTTCTTGCTGTTTTGTTTTCTCAGTCTTTTCCTTGCAAAGCTTCTGTTCTCACATCCTTCACTTTTCACTTTCGTGCCACTGTTGATACCGTTGAAATACACATTCACCTTTTTTCTTTTGTAGCTGGAATGAGTTAGTTGCTCACATATTACTCTACTTCTTGCCAAGATGGTGCTAAGAAATAGTTTAACCATTGTATTGCATTACTGTGGTTGGTGGTGGGGTCTGCAGAGAATTATACTGGATCAGGGTGGGCAAAAGACAAAGCTCTAAAGCATTGGAGACATTAATGCAAGGTCTCATTGGTCTGTTTGAGGACATATGGTTTGAAGCTGCTCCCTAATGACAGAAGATGTTTCTGTTGTGTCTTGCTAACTCATGCCACTCACATGATGTGTCCCTTTCAGTGACAGCCTCCACCCCCACAAAGCAGAAGGGATTGTTTTCATATGCATTAGGACTTTTAACTCTTTTCTTTAAAAGTTACTATTGCCAAGAGCTGGGTTCCTGTAGAACCCCATTATGCTACTCAAGCCTTTGACGGTCCATCAGCCTTTCTAAATAAAAAGTGTATCCTATTTGTGGTGAATACTTTCTTTTTCTACTTCATCTCACCCCACTTTCCTCTATCCTAGAGGTCATTGTGATTACAAGGAAGGAAATCCAGAAGATGTTAAACTTGGACACAAAAATGAAGCTGGATTTTGTGTGCATCAGTGACAACATGGACATGGGTACAGCAGATTCACTGAGACATATTCACCAGAAAATAAAGGTATTACTGTCTTTTATTGAACTTGACTGGAAGACATTTGCTTATAATTTTATTTTACTTTAATTGTGCTTTAAGAGCTGTCCCAAGGAACGATATTGCTGGTAACTGAGTTTCTTTTCAGACAAGCTGAATTTTGTAAAGGTCACCTCATGGGGGAATTTAAGCAAAGACTAAATGACTAGAATTGACAGCTAGGAAAGCTGGATCCGGGCAGGGCACTGGCTGCTGCTTAGTGTTAGCTAGCATAGGTTGTATGTTTTCATACAGCTTTTGATATGATGTGTCATAGCTGTTGTCCGCAGAGTGCTTGGGGAAGTACTCTGCACAAATGTTCATTGTCAGCTTAGCTTGGGCAAGACTCTCACACGTAAGGAAGTTTGTTCGGTTCTCAGCCCTGCCACAGGGCTGCCTGTGCTATTAGCAAGTGCCTTGCTCTGTGCTTCAGTTCTCTGCTTTTCCTATGCTGGCTTGGCCATAAGCTCTTTAAAAAACATTGCACAAATGTGATAAAGGGCTGCTGTTCTAATAAAAATGCCACTTTATAGAATTTAGATTTCTGGCTGCACAATCAAAACATTCCCATGTAAGGCAGACCTGCTGCTCTGAGCTATTGCCGTGATCTGGGATGGAATTTTGGTTTTGTCTTTGTCATACACTTAGTCTTTCTGATTTGTTCCTTGTCTGTTCAGGCCATCTAAGCCAAATCATGCATTTAAATAAAGGTTGCAGCAGAACATCAATGAACTGTTTAAGTCCTCAGGTGTCTTTTTGTCTTCAGGCTCTTTTTGAAGGTAATATGCAGTGTAACAGGCTGTGTACTCCTAAGAGAAAGACTCCAATTTAGGCAAGATGAAACTTTAGAGGCAAATATGGGTGTCTGGGTGCCACAACGAGAGAGATTCTGCAAGGGGTTGATGCACAGACTAGAATAATTTAGAGGGCGAAGAGAAGATATAAAAAGGAAAAGCAAAATCAACAAAATTAGTTTAACTTTTGGAATGTTTCTGTCATGTGAAGAATAACTGAGTCTGCAGTATTTTTTAAATACATGCACGCAGTAAAGAACTATCTCTGCACCCTGACCTTACAGTTGTATTGACAGATCAGAGCAAGCAGTCCCACTGTCCGGGTATCCCTCTTTTTGGTAATCCAGACAAATTAGCTGAGGGGGGGAGGCCTGGGAGACAACAATAAAGCATGTGGGGGTAAGAAAATAGACTGTGTCTTCAGAGGCAGCAGTGTTGGATCTTCTGTTTATTTTTCAGCAAAAAGGTTTAGGAAAGATGTGAAGTAGTCCTGAAACCCACACGGCTTCTTCAGTCAACTGCTGTGTATGAATGGCAGCAACTGCTTCTGCCCTTTTTATTCCATGTTTTGCTTGTTTGGCCAGGGAGAACAAAGTGCTCTCTTATTTGAAAGAAGCCTGTGCTGAGTTCTTGAGCAGATTGCTGCACTGTGTATTTTGGAGTCATTCCTCCAGTAAATGCATACCACTGGTACACTTCTTACAGGGTATACCCTCTCCTGAGCAATGTAGGTGAGAGAACTACACAGTAGAGGTAGCTGAAAAGCTGCTGTATGTTGGCTCTGCCTGTGGTGGAGTGGGAGAGGGATCTCACTGGAGAATGGGTTTCCCTGGTGAAAACAACTGCTGCCTGTGGCCATAGTTTGCTGGCAGGCTTTTTACAACCCATGCCAGAAGTCTGATGAGAAGTTTAAACTGGTTGTTGAAATTTAGTTGTCACAAATTGAGTTAATTGCCCACAAACAGAAGAACAAGTATGCTCAATAAAAATGAGGTAACATGGCACAGTATAGACAACTTGCTTATGTGCAATGCAAGTGACAGGGAATAAAGCCAAGATTATAAATGCACAGTAAGAAATACATCTTAGGGTACCTGAACTGCTGATCACAGATTCTGAGATGTGCATAAATATTGGGCCATTCTCAATAAAACATAAAATGTCATGACTTGCTGCCTTGTCTAGCATTTAACTGAGGGAGTTCCACCAGTGCAGCATTGCTGTGTGCTGTCCCTGCATTTGCAGGCCTTTGTGTTGTGTTGCATCTTGGCTAATGAATGAAGTTCAGTACTTAAAATTAGATGTTGAGATCAGATTTACAGAATGGCATTCAGCATTAGCATGAGAGTATATATGTGCAAAGCCTGTAAGGGCCAAAGGAAGACAGTTTTCATTGTTGTTTTACCACTTTTTGGTGCTGCCATTTTTGGGGGGCAGGCAAGAGTGACTGTTTTGGTTTACAGCAACAAGCAGCTGACTACCAGTCTTGTTGTTTCCTGGTTGGTCAGAAGTTCATGAGAGCAAAGGAAGCCTGTTCAAGTTTGTTTGCTGTTATAAACCCTATACACACAGAGGATTTTTTGGATGTCTTTACTCCAAGAGTTGATACAGTGCTCTTTGCTCTGCTGGAACTCTTCCTGTTTTTTTTGGCTGTCGCAGCCTACACCTGATTGACAAGGTAGCAGCTTCATTAGGATTTTTATGTTCATTACAAGTCTGAATGTATCTTTTTCTTGCATCCTTCACAAATAAAGGTATTATGCTGCACTTGTCTCCAAAAGGCACCTGCTTGAGAAGTAATGAATAACAGAGAACTTGGTCCTGTAAGTTTTGCTTTCTGGATTCCTAGGTGTTGGTGTCATCCTGGCCTGTTTATTACCAGTAGTTCTTTATTGAACTACTGAATTGAATTGACTTGTGTAGCAGGTTGGTTTATTTGTTTCTATTTAAACATTCAATTCTGGGGTCTGAGTGGCTAACACCATTAACCAGTCTTCACAACTCTGCAATTGAGGACTGAGGCTTATCGAGGTGTAGTAATTTACTTTGGATCATTAGAGATCCATAACAGGACTGGAAACTGGATGTCTGTCTCAGATCTCTCTTGGTTTTGTGCATGAGATCATCGTTCTTTACTGTGTGCTTGTTGCATGCTTTGTTTCCCTACCTTGAAAAAGCCAGCAGGACAAGAGATTAAACACAAGTTGAAGCTGTTTGAAATGGAAACTGATGAAATAGAAACTTCAGTAGAGCTGCAGTCAAGTTTCTGAATCGTGAGTGTTGTGGGTTTTTCAGTGATTGTGACTTTAAAAAGGTCCTAAATTTGGGAATGCATCGGTCTAAATGTAAGTAACTGAAAAATCATTTTGCAGCATATGAAATAGAAAACAGTGGAAATTTTTTTACCTGTCTCTCTTTTTTTTTTTTTTTTTTTTCTTTTTCTCTTTTTGGGTAATACAACACTTACCAATGTTTTGCAGTAAGTCCAGCACTTACAATAATGTCACAAGGCGAGTATAGGAGTTACTAATTTGTTTTACACAGAGGTATGAAAACAGTTTAAGGACTTTGTGACCACTGTTGATCATGTCCTTTAATTGCTCTCGTGTGGACAATCCCAGCAATTCCTTAGAATGCTGCTGTTTTCAGGATCCTGCTATAGTCTTGTGTGCCTTATGGCAGTTCCCATGGCTAATGAACAGTCTTTTTTCTTTTATACTAATACCACAGTCAGTTTTATTCTTTTGGATCTTTGTTCCTAGTTTTCTGCTCATCTTTTGCAGGACTGATAGTGAATGGCTTTTCAAAATGTGAAAGCCAAAGTGAAGCTGCAGAGCTATTCTCATTTGTATGTAGGATTGGAAGTGGTAGAACACAGGCTGTGTAGATTTACAGTTGATGGTATAATAATGCTCTTGTTGAAACTGTAGCTTTACCACCATAGGGCTGTTTACTCATGACCTGTGCTGGTGAGAAAGATCTCTGTCCCCCTGTGATCTAGCCCAAACACAGAAACAAGCCAAACTTCCATGACTGTAGGTTTGGATTGATGACCTTCCCTGGTAAGTGAGTGAAGATAGCTCTCCTATTCCAGATGCAAAAGCACCGTATATAGAAGAATTTAATGTATTTTGGAAGATGACAGTCTGCTTCTGTAGCTGAGCAGATTAATTACAGGAACTTTTATTTATTTATTTTAAATGCCTTCTGACTTCAATTTTCTTTCATTTGTTCACGTACGCAATTATACTAGAGTAATTCTGAAGTGATTTACTCAGTGAAAGCTTCAGTGTGTTCTGGGTTACTGCTTTACCTGCAGCATGGAAGTGAGACAGGTCCAGCAAGCCTTACAGGACACAAAAAGAGGCACTACCATGGATTTCTTCAACTGTGTGCCTGTCAGCCTTTGAAAAGCTGGGGAAAGTAGGGAAAAAAAAACCTTTCAATAAATCTTTTGAAGACACCAAAGAGCTGTGATAAACCAAGCAACTTTGAAGGACTATAACAAGCCATGAATCAAGCAGTTACAGATTTGGAACTTAAAGATGTAAAGCAGTATTCGTGTGCAGTTTATTCAATCCAGTATCTTTATGTCAAACTGTTAAAATATTGCTGTATGTTCATGTCTGTTTTCAAGAATCACTGCCATGAATTACTTTGAAACCTCAGAAAATTATTTTTATAGATTAAATGACAAAGTCAAAGCTCTCTAAGTCTATAACAGGTAAATAAAATACCACCTCATCCAGTGCACATTAGTAAAAGCAGACTGTGAGCTCTTTAAGGCAGAATCTCTCTCTCATAAGATCTCTTCCCTAGTTCATCAATCAATCACTCACTGGTCACTGTTTCATCCATTACAGGCATGGGAGGTACATACAGCCTTTGTGTGCTTTGCTAAGGAACCTGTAGAAGTTGGAAGGGGGAAGAAGTAATTTGCTTTCTTAAGAGTCAGATTCTCTAAAGGATAAACTTTCATTAGGAAAAAGTAAGCAAACAATTTGGATGTAAGGATGGCTTAATCTACCACTGGTCATGAACAACTGAATACCTCTTCCATAGATAAGAAAACACTAAACTTGCTCTGGATTTATCTTTTAATTTGCCTCACACCTGGTGCTTTAAGATTAAGGGATTTTAAAATGAGATCAGTATTTGGCATTGTTAGTGAAACAGTACGTTCAGCATGCTGCT